TTCAAGCTCTCAGCGGTGTTCTACGTGCTGTAAGTTCGCTTTATTCCTTGAAAATCCAAGTGCTTCTCAATTACGAAGATTTTGAAATTCTTTGATTTCATTGCTCGCATTGCTTTTCCTGTTTGTTAACTATGAATGCGACCAGTGCTCCCTGAATCTAGTTTCATTGGTCAGCTATCGTGTGAAATGACACAACGTTTGATTTCAGGACTGGCCTCGTATCAGCTCTTATTCCAATGTGTACCAAAATCTGTTTGGCGATATACTCTTCAAGAAATTCACAGTAAGCTTCTCAATTTTTTTTGCTCTTAATACTGCATAACTTATTTTTAGAGCATTATCGCTCGTGATCTGCGAGATTTGGAAGAAAACCTTACTGCGCAGTTGAAGACCATAAACTTGGCTCCTCCACCTTTGTTTGAGAAAACATCCAACAAATTTGACAATCTTATCGGAGTTGGAATATCTCCTGCCTTGGAGAAGTACGTCAAATCACCTATGTGACAGGTTGTTGAGGGTTAAATTTTATGATTTTTTTAGATGTATCTCTGCTTTTTACGCCGGCGTGCAAAATGCTCGTGATTCTTGCGCCAAGTATGAACAAGTAGAGATGGATTCTCAGCCCGAGCGCATTCGAGAAGCTCTAGCAACCGAGCTTTTTGACGTTGTCGAAAGGTAGTAATGTTGCATCTGTACAACAAGGAAATCGGATTCATTCTAGGCTATCAAATCTGCGTCCACGCGACGATGATGGCAGTTCTGCCGGGGAACTGTCAAGGGCTCGCCTATGTCTAGCTCTACTTCACTGTGATTCAACTTCATTCTGCCAAGCAATGAATAGAGATGGAGAGAGAATTTCCAAAGCCAGTCGCTTACTGAAAACTGCCGCCGAGGATTCGCTGAGGTTTGTTTGCTACAATTTTAATCGTTTGAGGGCCTTGCTCCTATATCTTGCTTATAAAAATCTTTTTCTTTGAGCGGTTTGGTCCCTGAATCTATCCATTATACCCAGCTCTCTTTGGTAGATTCTACATGAGACGTTTTTGGACTTGATTTTCAGTTTTCTGGGAAGTATAGTCATGTGCTTGAGTTTTTACGGCAGCAAGTTCTCGGCACATAGTCGCTTTTAACGACACTGGTCTCCTAGACATGAATGCGTTACATTCACAGGTTCATTTTCATTGATTTCTGACCAGAATACAGAAAGGTGGAATGCCGAAAAACATGTTTCACAAAACTTTCTTTTGCTTTTGGAGGCGTTAGCCTTTTTACTACTTTTGTAGTACGGACTGTGGTATTTTGCATAAGGCTCTCTCTCCATCATATCTGGTGATTTCGCAGTATTGACGGTCATGGCTATCAGTTATTTGATACTTGTACGCAACGCTTTCGCAATGGGTCAAAAACCAAAAAATGAAGGAAAACAAATCCAAACATTGTTTGCTACCATCGTGTTACGTTTAGAAGACATGTCTCGACTAAAAATTGATGATAAAGACCCATAATCAAACTCTGCCTATGTTTGCACAGAATCAACCACAACTCTTTATTGGAACAGAATCTAGGGAAGAAACCTGTGGGATTTGTAACTCTGAGAGAAACTTTTTGATATATTTTGTCTTCGAAATCTATACAACACCCGTCTTCTAAACATCGCATGAACACGACTGAAGAAGGCAACAATTTGATCACAATGGAATAGAATCACAAATTATACCTGCCAAAGAGGTTTAAATAGGATAAATGTGATGAAAACTCTGCAAGGCGAAATCAACGGAAGTAAATGAAAACGATTTGCAGCGTAGGAACGCTGCACTCTAGTTGCTTACGGACTGGTTGAACCGGCTCTGTGCATAAGAATGCAGGCAAGGGACGGGAAAAATCTTACTATAACGCGGATGCTTCGGAATTTGTGGCGTGGTGTGAGCTATAGAGCTCTCGAATTGCTTTGAGAAGATTGTTGAAGGGTTTTTCCATGAATCTTCGGCG